GCTGTTCTTCTCTTCTTTGCTCTGTCACAATGTCTCATCTGTGCCGACAGAAAAATACACTTGTTATCTGACTGGTGTACAGAGTTTTCAAATCTCATCAACTCATCAAAGTTCATTCTGGGCCTTGGAAAAAGTAGTTTGACGACACACTATGTGTGTCACTCAAGTTACTGACTTTTTATTTAGCTTTTAACCTGTCAATCAATCTTCATCAGTAAATGGAGTTGGATATGTTGACATGTAAGCTCAGCAGCTGATATGATTTCACTTTCATTTACTTGTACTTCTCTTCCATGTTAGCTTAAACATTAAAGCAGCAATAGGGAATACTGTTAAAAATAACCTTTTGTAATATTGCTAAAATTGTCACTATATAATGACAGTACATGAGACAGATAATCTTTTAAATGAGGTTCCTCTGGCTTCTCCTAGTACTCCTAATGCCATTTGCAATAATCCACCCTCTCCCTGAACAATACAACCAATCAGAGCCAAGCGGAGTCTCACACGCAGTGTCAGTCACTGCTTGTGCACACGCTGGCACTCGTATCGCCGAGTGGCAAAGAGGCATAATTACAAACAGTGGGGAATAACCGTTGAAGGGTGGCAGTGGTGTGCAGGTGGCTCCTGTTTGTGGGTTTAGTGGGTGGTGCTTAGCATGAAGGCTGAACAGACCAGAGAACTGTGCACTCCATTTGCTGATAAAGATCATTTGATGTGGTTATAAGTGCTGGTAAAAAAGCTAGTAAGTGGACCTTTTTAGCCACTAGCGTTGCTCTGGAAATGGTCCTGAATGAATATTGGATGGATTGCAATGAAATTTTGTACAGAAATTTGTGTTCCCCAGAGGATGATCCTAATGACTTGACTTTTCCTGTAGCAGCGCCATGACAGATGGTTTTAAGTGTAGCCTAATGTTTTGTCAACTGTTGGCTGATTGCCATGAAATGTGTAACACACATTTGTCACATTTACAGTTATTTGATACCTGACTTTTCTTTTTGCGCAACAGCAACCGGCTGTTCTGAATTTAGTAGGTTTCACCCTGTATACTTTGTCAGCTCTCATAGTGATTTACTTTGCTGTCAACAGACAATAAGGCTTAGAACTTTGAAATACAGCATGAGAATAGCAGTACCACCAGCCAAATCCTTGGACCCTGACGCCCCCCAAGTGTGTCTTTATTTTCCACATGTTTTAATGTCACTTCAGCTTTAATAGCATATAAAGGCAGTTCATTTCAATTCAATCATTGTCTTTGTAATTTACACTCCAGTTCAGGGTTTGTCACGCTTTGGGGAACATCTGCTTTCAGTTTGTTAACAAAAGCTCTTTTAATGGATTTTGAAGGAGGAACTGCACACTGCGACAGATAAGGACTTTTTGACAATAGCTGGACCTGAGAATAGCTGCCAGCACATAAAAATACTCAGAAAGAGGCCTGCAACTAAATACCACATTGTATATGAAGCCAGTGCCTTGGTATTTTGCTGTGGATGTGAGGTGATTTCTGCTAGCAGAATGAGTTGTTGAAGACCTCTATTGGAACCATATGTTTCTAATCTCCTAGCACTTTATTTTCGCTGGCCAATGTGGTCTATACTCCGCTGTGGACAGTTGAGGAGATATGTACAGTGCAACTAAAATATGGAATATTCTGGGTTTATTCTTCTTTTGGTAGTTACAGATGACTGTGGTTCATTACTGTGGGGGTATTTATATTTTCTATTCTAGACGCTAAGATGGGGTTTGTATCCAAAGTGACTGTAAGGAGTGAGGAGAAAAATGACCAGGACTTATATTTCATTTGCTTTTGGCTTTTGGATATCTCTCTTTTCAGAGGGTTCCCCTCATCCGGTGAAGCTAGAGAGAATCTGCTCTTCATCATTGCCATTTTGAAACTTTTGTAGAACAAAAGAAAGAGAACAATGGGAAAAGTGTCTTTTTAGGGGTAAAACAAGCAGGTTTCTGATCTAAACGTCATTATTCCAACTGAGAGGAAGCCTAAATAGTGGTTCAAAAGATTAGGCTCAGTTGAATATACTTGTAACTAACCCGTTCCTGTTGACAGCAAACCTAGGGCTGTAAGATTCTTTACATTTGATTAACAAAAAAACTGTCTTGCTTAATTTTCTACTAAAAAGACTATAACTTTGGAAAATACTCACTTTGCCATCTTAAACCGCTAAAGCAATGAAGAATGTGGAGTTTGTGCACCATATCTTACAGTGGAGTTGTGCTTGGCCATTATGGAAAAGAGGAATGATTATTTAGAAAATTGGACCCAGAGCTCAATCCAATACACAATACACTTTTGTTCCAACAGCCTTACTGGGTCTGTTATGACCAGCACCTGACTTTATGACTTTTCTGTACTGCCACTGTTACACTATGTTTAAGTGTTCAATTCAATGGTTTTATTACAAAAGTAAAACAAGAAAAAAAGAACATGCTGTACCTCAACAGGTTCTTACCAGCTTGTTGTCCCATTCCACTCGCCCTCAGTCTGAATGCCTAATGATGAAGGGTTGGCTTTTTTTATTGTTGCTAACCACCAAATCATCTGTCCTTAGCCCAACCGTTATTTTGCTTTGTCGTAAACTAACAGATTCGTACCTCTTTTTGAACCTAATTTGCCTCCTGGCCTGCTGTTTTCTGTTCAAATCATAACACTAAAACACTAAGACATTTTTGTTTTGTTAACAATAGATCCATTTAATGTGAATTTTTTTTCATAGTGGTAAACCACCCCTCAGCTCTATGTAGTGTTCAAGTTTCTCTTAGCCAGTTTATCCCAACTACAGCTTGGTATATTACAGCTGCATAATTAACTTTTTTATCAACGCATTTTTAACAGGGGATAAAATGACACGGCTATGTGTTGTGTGAAAGGGTCGTTTGTAGAGACAAAAACAGAGCTGAATATTTGACAGAAAGATGACTCCAATCAAATGCTTAAGTTGCTCCCTATCTGCTGGACTTGAAAATAGACACATATGCTGTAAGATGTTTGTGTTTGTTCTTCTGCCACCAGTCGGTCAAAGTATCAATCAATGCAGCTTTAACATACGGTAAGTGTAACGACAAACAGTGCTGCTACTACTTTGGTCATAAGATTCAGAATAGATTCCTATAGAACCACTGTTCTCTTTCCATTTCTAATTTGATGTTACATGACAGCTGTAGTGTTTGATGAATGAATGGTTTTACCTGTTTGTACCTGTGACTTCCTTCCTACATGTGGAAGTTAAGTAAATTTTACAAAGTGACAAAAAATTAAGGTTTGCAATAAAGGAACTTTTGAAATAGAACATTTGTATTAGAACCTCAAAGTAACCTTTATGAATCAGGGCTGAGCTGCAACAGATTGAGGCCCTTTTATCTTACCTGTACAATTCATTCCACTAATGGCTTTTCCGTCTGTGCCAGTTTTCATGCAAAGACTCAGGAAAGGCCCCCTTCCCCAGAGTCTGCCGAAACAAGGCACACATGCTAGAACTCTCTTCTTTTCCGCAGTCAAATGGCTGTTTTTTCTGCAGACACGTGAGGACAATCTGATCTCTAAACAGGAAATTAATTAACGTGAACAACCAAAGAACAAAATTCAAAAGCTAGCAGGTTTTTCAGATTCTGTTCCCAATTAGGGTTTGGCATTGATGTTGTCACCCCACAAGTTGAGGTCAATCTGTCTGGGAGAGGGTAGAGGATTTTGTTTCTGTGTTTATCAGACATTCAATCTTGATATTTGAGTAAAAGCGTGTCCTAAGCAATCTTTGTCAGAACACTGTTGGCCTCTTTAGTTCAGTGTTGAAGGAGCTTGGATTTCCTTGCTAACCTGACTCACCTTTGGCTGTACCTTGTTTTTTTGCATGTCTGCACCGAGGTATGTACTGTATATCCACTAAGCCCAGACAAGGTCACCATCACCACATTTCCAGTAATTATCATGGTCCATGGTTTCAGCCTTCTAACAGTTTGGTATCCTCTGCAGTCCAGACCTTGTTGTCTCTAACCAGAATGATTAATGTGGTTATCTTTAGGAGAAAATAGCAGAGGACAGAAAGACGGATGATTTGTAGTTTTCACTCTGGTGGCATCTGGCCTTCCCTGGAGGCAAATGCCAATTTAGGAAAACCTCCTTTCTCATTATTTGATGTCTAGGTTCTTGGCTGTATATGAGAGGGGTCTGTACCAGCCCATCTGTTGAGCGCAGCAACATACACCCCCACCCCCCCAGCCAGACTGAGCTCCCTCCCCTCAGCCTGCACTGTCACGTAGCACAAGAATGTGGGTTTGGTCTATGGGAGAGGAAAATGTTTATTTAATCCCTGCAAAAAGTCAGAGAGGAAAAGGCTCTGAGCAGATTTTTGACAGCCTTGCTTTGCCTGCAAGAAAACAGGCTGCTAACTGAGTTTTGCTTAGATGCTCAGAGGACTCTCTTCTATCTTTTTTCTTTTTATCATTGTATTCCAATCATTCTCCATTACCACCATCAACGTTACAAACTATGATAGAAAACTGTTGGACTGGTCAAGGTACCTAATCATAACATAGTCATAGCCATGTGACCAATGGATTAGACAGGGGCCACCTTAGCATAGACCATGTTGGGTGACACTAGGTGCCATGCTAAGCACTTTAGCACATGCTTGTAACTATAAGCCACTACCATTTTTCCTAATGTGAACTTGTAGCAGCTGACTTGACTAGCTGAATTTGTAGATTTATAAAATGTATGCAAAGGAAAATATTACTAATGTAGACTTACAGTTTGAAAAAGCAGTAACCTCCTAGCCTGTAGAATGTAGTGGTGGATGATGGAAGATGTTGTACAATTAAAGCAGCATTAATTACATTTTTTGGCCACTTAGCCACAGCAGAAAAAAATATAAAATAAATATAAAATTATAAAATATATGCATCCTGTTACCAGCTAGTTGCTAACTTTGTCTGTATGCTGTTTGGTGCTGGAAAGGTAGTGTACAGTTAATAAGAGCTTTTTCCTTGAAACAGCGGTTTTCTCCTGCAGGAATAATTACAGCTGTAGGAGTGAACCCAGAAGTTAAGTTGTGGGCCATAAAACAAAAACGCTGAGCTGAAAGTATAGAGCTGAGGGGAACTGCAGAGTTGGGTGATAATTCTCTGTGGGTCTGTCACTACGAGCCAGGCCTCTCATTAAACATATTACCTTGATTAGTTGTAGTGCAGTTTTATTGACACAGCAGGTAAATAATTAAAAATGTACCCTGGGTGCATCACTTTATGTGACTGTGCAAGCCATAAGTGATAATAATAAAAACCATTAAGTACCTTGTATTTTTGCAGTGATCTGAATGCTTCCAGTTGAAAAAACTTCAACTCAGAGCAGAAAAGTGCCCTGCTGATGCTTTCTGATCGGCCTAAATGATCTTTCTGTTCAATTAAAGCTACAGAATGCAGAAATTTGAAAATTTATGAAGGAAAAGTAGTTCCTATAAACCGAGTAGCCTATAATTAGACCATCCTAATGACAGTAAGAGATACTTATGATAAAACACACACTCACTCCAAATTACTGAGTTTAGATATCGATCCTTTTATATGAGTATCGATCCTAGAGCAGGAAACGTTGGTATCAGAAATATCTCTTTAGGATTGATCCGCACATCACTAATATATATCAAAATAATTAGAAAGATGCCAAAAGCACATAAAAATTCCACACATAATGGCTTTAAAGGTGGCTTTATGCGATTCTGAAGAAATCTAATGAAAAAACATGGAAAAACCATGATTGAACAATGACACAGGAAGTAATATAACTACTGTTACTTCAGTTTTGAGTTAGCATAATGTTGCTACAGTTGCTCCTGCAAAGCTAACTTGAAGAGACGACCAGACGTTCCCAGAGCAGCACACCAGCTCCAGACAGAGATACTCAACTCTCCTGGTGCTATAGCTAGCATCACAACAACAGCATGTCTTAGCAAACTAGAAAGTAAGCTGAATGTCAGTTGCCAAGTAATATAAGCCACTTTGTTTGTTTCCCATTTACAGAGCCAGAGCTGTATACAAACACAGAAGACGTGTATTGGGTTAGAATTGCATTCCCCACCTTTTAAAAAGTCTTGTGAATGTGTAGCATGGTATACAAGTGGGAACCCACTATAGGAAGATATGAAAGAGTGTTATCATCGCTCAAACGGTTTCATGAAAGTAAAACCTTTAAGAACACAGACACAAAATAATTTCTGATATCCTGTCAAAGTAGTATCGGACTGTCCAAGGCTGGTACTGCTCAAATCTGTGGTCGTTGATGATGTAGACGTGAGGCGTCTGGAAAGAAATGGCAGTTCTTAATTGCCTCCTACTGCACGTGTACTCACAAGGCTGCGTTTGTGCTGTGTTTTTCCATCACCGCTTTACACCGGCGACAATGTGTTACACATGTTACCATGGAAACCCTTTGATACCTTTGGTTTTTAAAGGCAAAGGCGGTCATGGTGCATTAATAACGTGATTCACTGTAAAAATGTTTGAGCAACCTGGAGAAGATTTACAAGTAGCGCACATGGAGCTGAGCAGCTGTTGCAGTCTGAAGGGGGGGTGAGGGTCTTTTTCTATGTAACACAGGAAATACATCATAGCTTACATCATATCAAATTGTAAAGACAAAAAACTAGCAAAACAAATATTTTTATTAATTAAAAATGTACACTTTGTCAATTACACAGAACAGAAACAATTGGGTTTCATATTTTTACTTCTTAATTAACTACTGACTTGTGTGCATATTTCTCAATTTGTTTTGTCCACAGAGCCTTGATATTCAAGTGGAGGACGTGCGCATACGAGCCATCCTGTCATCGTACCGTAAGCGAATCCCTGTAACCGAGGGCTATGTAGAGGTCAAAGATGGCGGTAAATGGAAGCAGATCTGTAACAGTGAGTGGACCCAGCTTGACAGCAGAGTCATCTGTGGCATGTTTGGCTTCCCCGGGGAGAGGAAGTACAATGCCAGAGTCTACAAGTGAGTGTTCCACTACTGTATGTGTGGTACTTTGTACATACACACAATAGCACAAGATCAACTTAAACAAAAAGTTCTTTAACTAGATTTTAACCTGAGATCCCTCTTCAGTAACCTCGGGCTTAGATGTCTGGGACTCTGATTTGCCTGATTTGCATGTTTTGTAATCCAGCCTTGGTTAGCAATAATCTTTTTGGTCAAGAGACTGTTCAAAAAATTATATCATATTATATAATTATAAAGTTATAAGGATATAAAAACATTCAAATTCAATCAAAGGTTTAATAATGAAAAATTGTCGATTTGTTGTAATTTAGGCTTGAGACTTCCACCACAATGTGAGCTGGTGTTAAAGGGTTAAAATACATTGGAGTAACCTAATACTGTACATCTTCCATTGTGTAGTTTACATGCTTGAGATCACAGGCTTATACATCGAAACCCAACCTGGCTCCTGTATATCCAACATCAGTGCATTCCACAAAGCTGTCATAATGTGTGAGCGACTGCTGAGGGATCTAAATCTTGCTTACATGAGGAAGCTTGCAGCCAAAAGGCCACAGGTTAATCATGGAGTTCCATAAAACTTCCAGCACTAAAGTTAACCTTGAATTTACTGTCTGCCGGGCTGGAAGTTTCCTCTGCTTTAGGTAACCACAGCAGAGCACGACGCCTCCTTAACTTTCCATCTGCGTGTCAGCCTGCTCCCGCTTCAGCCCCGTGAAACCGCGCAGTGTGTTTTTACAGGCTGTCGTTTGAAACAGGGGTGACACGGAGCCAAGAGCCAGGCTCTTCATACTTTCATAAGTTAGTCTCTGTGCTGATGCTTCTGTGTAGCTTCTAGTTGAGCTTTAGCCAGAGAGAATGATGATGTAAATTAAGATGTAGTGAAGAATTCATGGTTCTCTGTAATGTTTGTGCAGTAGATTTTCCCTTTCATGCCACAAAACGTATTCAGTGTTTTAAGCCAGAATATTACATGTTTTCACAAGTGTGATGATAGTAATAGCAATGATGCACTTCCATAAAGCTGGGAGACCTGTGAGAGGTAAAAAAAGGAGAGAGTCAAATGTGTTGTCATTTTAAGAATGCAGAAGGAATAAGATTGCTTGTTACATTACTTATTCAACCCAGCTCTGTCAAGGTCTTTAAACAACTAGTCTACACACTGACTCACACCTCTCACCTTCTGCATTAATGTTAGCAAGCCAGCCAATAAGAAAACGTCATGAAAACAAGACATTTTTGGAGTTACTGGAATGTAGACCTCCTCTTTTGGCAGAGGCTAGCTGCCTCCCCATACATCCAGCCAATGCTAAGCTAATGTGAAAAGGACCGAGACAAAATTTATAAGCCTCCATCTAATTCCCAGTACATACTGTACAAACTGACATAATGGCCCATTACTGGAATTAGTTAATTACTGTTTTTTTTATTTTACTCCCTCAAACCAGTGACAACATTTTACAACTGTTTTCCTAGGCTGATTAGTTGTGTGCATTATCATTACGTCATAGAAAGTAGTGCAGAGTAGCATTCAAGTATATGAGAAGTACTGAAAAAAACACAACTTTAGTATAAATGTGTGACCATATTTTAAGATAGGTTGAGAGATTTTGGTGATAAGTCAACTTTCACAGCATCAGGAGCACGAGTTTCTTCAATCATTGCTCCATTTGAACCGAAGGTACTGATACGCATCACTCAGAATTGCATTTGAAGAGATAGCAGAGGCAGTCCTCTAGCTGTGGCCTAGAACATAGCTTTGGATTGCTTCCAGTCTGCAGCTTTCCGCTTGCCAGCTCCCAAATGAAAACCAAATGCTGCCTGTCCCATTTTAATCAATTTTTTCACGTACACCTCAGACATGAGACACAAGGATAGGACATGCCATTCTGCAAATGAGGCTCATTAAACACATAAAATGAGCTCACTAATAAATGATGAAGAAGAAGAAGAGATTAGCAGCAGGCCTGTAAGAGTGTCATTAACCCCAGTTTGTTCATATGGAAGACTGTGTGAACTCTCCGGCTGTTAGCTAACCTTTCACTTTTGGTACTAATTATACAATATGCTAATGCCTTTGCCCTTGTCTAGTTTTATGGAGTCAAGATAAAGCATTCTAAGTCTAATAATTTCACTTCAGATCATATTGTATTAATTATAAGATGATGCACTGGCGTTTCTTGTGTTTCTCAAACAGTACATCTAGAAATTCAACTGCAGATTCAGCCACATGTGCTCTTGAGCAAGTGTAATCCTATTTTCTCATCCACTCATAAATTTTAAGGCACTTGCGTTATTCTCTCCACTCCACCACAAGCTGAACATCACAAACTTACAAGTTTTTATGCTAATGTGTTAGCAAAACAGTTGCCTTTTACACATCAAACAGACATGAAGCAACATTAGCTTTGATTTGGAGTCGCATACCATGAACCTGACAATTTCCAATTATCACTCTCTTTTTTTGCTCTGTGTGGGTCTCCAACAACTCCTTAGGGGAATATCTGACTCTTTAGTAACTAATTCCCCCAAGTATGTTCTCGAACTAGCAGCTAACTTTTCTGTCAGCCGCTTGATGCTGGGCAGATTGCGTACATCTGTTTTATTAGAGCCGTTTACTTCCTGCTGTATCTGGAAACAGTGATAGATGTTGGTTGTAAATTTTCCGTGGATTCATCAATACTAGCGACATTTCACACATCACACATGGCCATTTGAACCATTGCTCATATATAAAATATTGATTAGTGCAGCTTTAACTTGTGGCTTCTCCAGGTTTTTTTTTTCCAGTCTAATGACAGATGTCTCATTTTGAAAAACACCCTGCTTGTCTGTTTGCTGCACCTAGTCGCAAACTGATGAGCTCTCGTCCCTTCAAAGACTTTATTAATCTCTTTTCCTTCTCCTCCGTCTGTCCAGGATGTTTGCACGCCGGAGGAAGCCCACATACTGGGACTACTCTGTCAACTGCACTGGCAATGAAGCCCATTTGTCCAGCTGTAAGCTGGGCCAGGCTACATCACTCAAGTCCAATGAGACCTGTGCTGGAGGGTTGCCAGTAGTGGTGAGCTGCGTGCCCGGCAGAGCCTTCGCCCCGACACCCATGACAGGATTCAGGAAGGCCTTTCGACAAGAGGTAAATTCCCCATGGAAATCGCTCTGTGCTTGTTTAAAGTTAGTTAATTACAGGGTAAATTATGACCTTTGGCTAAACTACTGACTATATTTGAAAATACTTATTTAAATAAAATGATGAATGTCTGTTGTCATCATCTAGACTATTCTGAATCTAAAATACACACACCAACTATTATTGTTTTACACAAATAATTAGACTATTGTACCCCACTAACTAAGACTGCGGCTTTTCCAGTTCTGTATGAAAAATAATTCAACCTAATTCAACTCACTTTAGAAAAATAAGAAATAATTGTATAAGTAGCCACTGTAACGGGAAGTTGTTATTGTCTTCTGTCAGTGGCAAATGAAATATGTGTGATGTGTGTGGATGGTGTCAATAAACTGGAACGGTAAACAAAGTTGATACAGGGATTAGCTGCACTGGTTCAGTTCAGTTCATTGGCTCTAATGTAGAGGGAGGGCGATTAAATGTTTTGGTCGAGCCAACACTGACGTTCGTTACTCAGTGTCACTGTGAACAGCAGCTGTAGCTGCTTTGGACATTTCTCATTAAAATGAATTACCATCAGTTCGGGGTTTGAAAGATGACGCGACGTAGTAAGATTCTTGGGACAAGAAAAGGAAAAACATGTTTCTCGCCAATGTCAGCGAACTTTTATTTTTCTCAAATGTCCTTGAGCATGAAACCAGGGCCCATAGTCAGTAAAACTGCATCATGAGGGAAGTTTTTACACATTCAGTTGCTTCAAAAGTTTTTGTTATATTCACGAAGATTGGGAAAATCAAGATAAGTGCGAACAAGCCCTCCAAATAGTTGAAACGACAGTTGAAAGCTCCGATTGAGTTCACGACTTGTGATTGTAATTCACAGAGGCCCCGTTTTCTAGTTTTTTAAGGCTTGGTTCATTCTCTGCTCAGACCTGAGGATCCGGAGAAGGTGCTCTTTTTCCTTCTATCTGGCATGTTTGCCACAAACCTTATTACGAGATAAAGGTAAGCATGGCATCTTAAACGATACTGTGCTTCCAACTTTGTGGCAACAGATTGAGGAAGGCCCTTGCCCGTTTTAACATGACAGTACCCTAATGCAAATCTCAGTTTCAAATACCATCCAACACCTTTGGGATGAACGAGCACAACGTTGGACACCACTAAAGCCTGAAACCAGATGAGTGGGGGCTGTTATACCAGCACATTAATGCCCATGATTTTGGAATGACCTGTTAAGCAGTCACGTGTGGGCATAATGCCTGGGCCACTTTTGGCCATGTTGTGTATGTGTGCAAAATAATTACATTTAAATATGTGTTCTGTGTCTGTGTGAGGCTCAAAGGGAATTTTTGATTTTGTCATACAGAAACTTTTTCTTTGCTCAAACCTTTACCAAGTCTTCTCTTGACTCCTTAGTTGCTCCTCAGGTACTCTTCTCTTCCTGGTTCTGACCTTTAAACTCCCCAGTGGGCAAAATAGGGATTTGTTTCTCACTCACACATAGCAAATTAAAGATTTCAGCGGTCATGAAAGTCACTCCGTCTGTAAACAACCGCACCAACTTTCAAGTCAAGCAAGGAAATACTACCAGAATTTATAGCACCACTAAGCGGAAATGAATTTCTGTCTGTGTGACTCCATCCACATTCTAAAGTCAGGTTTGAGTTTGCCTGCTCTCTGTCACGTTCCACAGCTGAGTGCCTGGCCGTGCCCGTCCCAAATCTTCCAACACACTCAAAGGAATTTGATCCTAAAGCCAGATATTAACCATTTGGAGAAATGAAAGCTGACAACTCCTGTCTGATAAAACTAACTGGCAGCTGGTGTGAAAGTACATTAAAGGCTTTGACTTCAATATCAATTTTATTTATATAGCGCACTTAAAACAACCAAGGTTGACCAAGGTGCTTTACGGGTTAAAAATACAACAATAAAACAGTAATTACACAAGATAGATAGAGGGATAATAACTGACTTAAACCAAAGGAAATGCCAAAATAGATGTGATTTAACAGTGATTTAAAGTGTTGCAGAGTTGGGGCGCTTCTGATATGGACTAGCAGGTTGTTCCACAGGTTTTAGGGGCAGCTACACCAAAGGCTCGATCGCCTCTGGTTTTAAGTCTACTTCTGGGTACATCTAGGAGGAGGAGACTGGCAGATCTCAGCACTCTAGCTGGAGTGTGAACACGAAGAAAGCCCCGTTAGGTAAAGCGGAGACAATCCATTAAGACATCCATCAATCCATCGTCAACCGCTTATCCTGCGCACAGGTTCGCGGGGGGCTGGAGCCAATCCCAGCTGACATCGGGCGAAAGGCAGGGTACACCCTGGACAGGTCGCCACACATAGACAAACATCCATTAAGACATTTAAAAGTTAAAAGTAAGATTTTAAAATCAATCCTGTAATGTACAGGAAGCCAGTGGAGGGAGCGCAACACAGGTGTGATGTGGTGCCTCTTCTTTCCTGTCAGGAGGCGGGCAGCAGCATTTTGGACTAACTGCAGGCGCTGAATAGATGACTTGTCTAAGCCCACATATAAGGAGTTACAATAGTCAAGACGGGAAGTTATGCAGGCGTTGTTCACCCTCTCTAAATCTTTAGGATTTACATATTTGAAAAACTCATGTATTCCATGTGCAATAGATACCATCTTTTTTACACTCCATTGTTTTACAGGTTTACAGGCTTATAGGTCACATTTTTTGATGATGAATATATTTTAACGTTAATTACGCTATGTGGAGGATGTGTACAGCTGGAGTAAGGATGTAACAGAGCCCACGCATTAAGACATCTGGGCTTTACTTTGTGAATACAAATAGCGGTAAGTCAGGTTAAACTGTGCTACTAATGTGTTTACTTGTTAAATGAAACACTTCCAGTTTATCTAAACAGTTAATGGGAGAATCGCATTAATAACATGTTGTATAAACACGAAGCCACCCAGTCTGCTGCCTCTGCTTTCTCATCACAGAGAGGGAACAGTTGAGGTTGCAAACTTTTAGCTGAGTCTGTAATTTTTGAAAGAACCAGAATAACCTAAACATGTGGGTTTTAGAATTTGAACAACGTCTGTGTTTTTCTTCTTTAGCAACCGTTGGTTCGTCTTCGCGGTGGGGCCATCGTAGGCGAGGGCCGAGTGGAGGTGTTGAAAAACGGAGAGTGGGGCACCATATGCGATGACAACTGGAACCTACTGTCTGCCTCCGTGGTGTGCCGAGAGCTGGGCTTCGGGACAGCCAAAGAAGCCCTATCTGGAGGTCGCCTGGGACAAGGTATACTGGTTTTACATTTTCACTGCTGTTTGTGTCTGAAGGGTCAACAACAACAACATTTTTAGGATTTTCAACGGGTCAATCAAACTAATGGAGTAAGATAAGCCTAATCTAAAATAGATGCTGCTCTCTCCCTCCTCCAACTTTAACTCAATACCTTAATCAGCTGTGTAATCAATGCACCCGATGGGAAAGCATTGTGAAAGGGATTGTGAGAAAAAAAACCCAGCCTAGACTAAGTACACAGTAGACCTGAACCAGTCCCATGCCAATGAGCTCAGAATGATAGTCTTCACTGTTGGAACCACAGTCCATATATTGCTACATGGTACTGGATGGAAGGTTATGACTGTGTAGCAAAACCACATATCCCAAACCTTTCAGGCAGTAATTCTATCCTTTAAGCTTTCTCCTCATATCACCCCCCCCGTGCCACTGAGCAGAGGAACATGAACTCACAGACCTGATGGTGAAAGTGATTTAGCTCGGTGGAACAGGATTAGTTACATTGTGTGGGTCGCTGAGGAAGGGAATTCATTCCAGAGCTGGTATGAACTTGGACATCTTTCTGCAAGGATGCATGAAGATTCCTATGTATTCCATTTGAGAGTTACTCTGTGCACTGCAAGGGGGGGGGGGGGGGGAGACAAGGCAAGCCTCGCTCAGCTGGACTATGAACAGAACCTGTGGAGAACAGTCCAAAACTGTCTCGTTTAGTTCTGTATTGTTCTCTGCCCACTCCTAAGGGAAATATCTGGCTCTTAAGCGGCTAAATGCTCATCTATGTTCACCAGCAAGTTGCTAACTTTGTCTGTCTGCTGTTTGGTGCTGCTGTGTAATGGGTTTCTCAGAGGTTTTGTTAGCTGAAAACAGTTGCCTGCTGTGTCTGAAAACATGGTTGATGAGAGCACTGAGAGTGAACCAAAACAGTAAAGTTGTGCCTGAAAACCAAAACACTGATCTGAAGGAGGCTAAAATGATCCAGGTAATGATTCTCTGTGGGTTTGACAGTAGACTAAATCTATCTATCATTGATATAAAATGATTTGTTAGTGCAGCTTTAAAGTTTTAAAATGCCTAGTTACTGCAGCAGGATAAGATTCAAGATTGATGATTAAAAGATTGGTTCAACCAAATTCCAAAAAAGCTAGTTTTGGTTTAATTTGTCCAGATTTTGAGAGTCCATGAGATTTCTGCCTCTACCCAAATACAGTGGAAATAAGCTAAAATACATAAACATATATATATATTAAATTATGGATTTGTGCAGCTCTAACTACTAAGCCCTAACAGAGCCAGATCAGCTATGCTTCTTAATTGACAGTCTGCTTGACTTGCTTTATGGCAATAATTAAAGTCCTCGCATCCTTAGTGTATTTAGCAAACCAAAATTACTCTTTAATTTGTTTGCCAGATTAGGTGTCACTTTTGTGAAATTGGTAGGCATTTTATTTTGGGCTAGGCCCAGGATGAGACCCAATCGTTCCTTTGAATCTCACTTTACGGTCGCCACTGAGGAGTTTCATCCCAGACTGCACCAGCAGGTTTCTATCACCAGCTGCATGGATAGTTTTACAGCAGGTTTGGAAGTTGGGACCCACTGCTCAACTAAAATGTGCCACTGATTTACTTCTAAATTACACACTCAGCAGATTTCTACCCTGTGTTATACACTTAAAGCCCTAGCTCACCTGTTACATGTAAAAAAGTAAAATAATAAATTATATTTTCACATGATCCTTCTGAAAAGGAGGTGTTTCCTCTTTCATAAACAGGGACATGCTGTACATTCCAGTAACATTAGACATGGAAAAAAAGAGGGAATGTTAATTTTCCATCATGATTTCTCATCAATGGCTCAGTGTAACCCCTTCATGGAGAAAAACACAACTCAGATGGAAATGGTACACCATAATAACAGTCAAACATTTCAAAAGGGATCATTAGAGATGAAGGCATGTCTTATTAGCACATAGCAGACATGAAGCATACATACATTTAATGGATAACCTAATTAGTAAATGATTAATTAACCTTTTAAAGTTAATGGTTATTTTGGGAAATACACTCATTGGCTTTCTTGCCAAGAGTCAGATGAAAAGATCGATACCACTCTAATGTCTGTATGCTAAATATGAAGTGAAAGTTTCTCTCCTCTGTACTTTTCAGGTATGGGCCCGGTGCACATGAATGAGGTGGAGTGCTCTGGATTTGAGAAGTCCATCACAGAGTGTTTCTTCAACAAGGAGGCGCTCGGTTGCAGCCATGAGGAGGATGCTGCCGTCAGATGTAACGTTCCTGCTATGGGCTTCCAGGAGTCGGTGAGACTCGTTTGAACAGCAACATACTCGCTCACTAGAAACATGATCAACCGGTTTATCCTGCATACAAGGACAGCACTTCCAACACACTCACCCACATCTTTACTTTTTTAATATGGAATTTGAATCTGCATTTGAATAGATATAATATAATAGATGTTTAGGAGCTTAGGAGACAACCGTATGTGAATATATGAGACGATATTTACACATCATATATATTTGAAAATGTAAATATAATTTTGAGAATGTTAAAAAACACCAAATATATCAAGCATCACTGATTGATGAAAAAGTTTGGATTTAGCTTTTAAGTCTGTTGTGTTTTTCATGCCCACAGCTGCGTCTGAGTGGAGGTCGTAACCCCCATGAGGGCCGTGTGGAGGTGCTGATGGAGAGGAACGGTTCTCTGGTGTGGGGCACGGTGTGCAGTGACGGCTGGGGAACCATAGAGGCCATGGTGGTCTGCAGACAGCTGGGCCTGGGTTTCGCCAGCAACGCTTTCCAGGTACAAGTCACAGCAGCCAGCGGTTTCGAAATCAGCCTGTTTGGTTTTGTTCTGAAGGCATCAGGATTTTCTTTTTCCTTTAGTTCAAATGTTATAAAGTCAATGTCTAAAAACAAAACCAACAAATGGTGTATATTGTGTGGTGTGTTCTTCCAGTGTATCAAACCTAGACAATAGTCATTTACTTTTGATTCATTATTGGAACTAAATTTTTCTGAAAAGTAATCCAAACTGCATAATGCTTTCCAGGAACCTTTCTACAAATGATATAGCTACATCCATTTATTTGCCAGGAAATCAAGGTAAACCATGGGGCGTGCAAAATAAAGTGCCACCTGTATGTATATGCACCTGCCCATTTCTACTGAGCTGTGCTGGCTCAGCAGTAACCGCCTGACTGAGCACAGGAAGCTGGAAGCAGCTTCTCCTTGAGATAGGATAGGATACTGACAACTATTAAAAAAAAGATAAAACTTTTTTTCAACAGACGTCTTAGCCTCAGTAACAAACGTTTACCCTTCCAACATTTTACTATTTTAGTTTATTCTCCTGACAGCAGCACATTGCAGCCAGTGATTGCTGGGGAGTAGAAAAATAAAAACACAGACAGAAAGAAACAATGCAGCCTATCCTAGAGAAGACGGTGATGTGAAGGCTGCATCCAGAGGGTCACCACCATCTGCCAGCTCCACTGAGATGCCCTTGAGCAAGCGAAAGAACAACCTAACTGGTCAGAGGTTTTAAATACATAGTGTGTGGTACAGAAATGAAAGTGGTTAAAAATAAATCTACCACACCCCTTTCTTAATTTCAAATTCTTCCACTACTTTGATCTAGATGGGTTTGTCCTCATATGTTCTGGGATGTTTGGTGTAGATTCTGATCTTCTTTAAGGACAGTTTTGACACATGATCAATTATCAAGTTCTCATTTTCGCATCCAAGTGGCTGTGCACAGTACGGTGTGTGCAATCAGTTTCCTGTGTAGTTTAGGATTTCCCAACCGGAAGCCATGTGAGATCCTTGAAAAAATTCCATTAAGGCTCATTTGAGCTTGAAAGCATTTTAGTGTTTTCAGTCCCATCTGTGAAAGTAATAATTGAAACATTCGTTTTGCTCTGTAAGACTGCATAGAATGTTAACGAGGCTGTACATTCACCGTATCAGTATATATTTACACTGGACGTTTCCAGCCTGAGTTGCTGAAAAAAGCGTTTGGTAGAGAAGATTGTCAAATACATCTGCGAGCAATTTTGGAAAACCAATAAATCTGTAAAACAAGTGAAGAGATTAACAGCAGTGGTTCTCAACCTTTTCCTGTCAACCCCATCCCCCCACCCCCACCCCAGCCAAAGTGGATTTCATTTTTATCAATCATCAACAGTACAGGCGATTTAATTGAACAAGATTCAGATTAGCAAAATTGCCTTGCTAGCATCAGAGCACTTTTGTTTTTTTTACATCACCACATGAATCATTTATTACATAACGACTTTTATCTATTTGCTGCTTAATGTATAGGAGGTTGTATACATACTGTATATAGGAAGTTTATGCCTGCTAATATTAAAATAAATGATCTAAATGTATAATTACCTAAATTAAAATGGAAATGGAAAGAAAAATTTCAAAAAGTGGCAGGAAATGTTAAACCTAAACCTGAAAATGAGATGGAAAACTGCGCTTCTTTTCATACTAACTGGAAGTGAACTGCAGCAAACACTTGTTTGCAGAGGTTTATGTATGATTATAGGTTAGCAGGTTATTCTCGAGACAGGAAGGAGACAGACCATCTGTTACAGTAAAATGTAATGTTATATAAGATGTATATTAGAGACATGAAAACATATGTTGCTAGTTCAAGTTACAAAAAAAAGAATACATTCTGCACATCTAGCCATCTAATAATTGATATGAATAATTTCAGCACCACTATTAATAATGTCCCATCCATGATGCTGTAGAAGGACAGGGTGTGCCCTCTAGTGGTCAGTCTAGAGACTCACCTTTCTTCACAGCAAATCTTAGTATTAGTGTGAAGATTTCCATAGAAAAAAGGGACCTAATGTTTGTTTGGCTTCATCACAGTAGAATATTCAGTGGGAATACTGTGAGTTTGTCTTTGCTATCAGACAGTTTTCCAGGTATTTCATCAACATGTTGACACCCTAGTATTCCAGAAATTCACTTTGCTGGTAAAATAGTGGTGGATAGCAGCTAGTACTGCATGGCAACGAGGAATCAACCCATACAAATTGTTTTTCATCTGTTGATATCTCACATTTCTGCAGTTAGTTGGTTAAAATCAAAGGTTTTACTTGTCTTAAAGTTTTTTAAACATGTTTTTTTTTTTTTTTTAAGCAGCGTCCAAAGCAGAATATGGACCATCATTTGCTCGTAGCACTCTTCAGTGAGAGCCATATTAGTTAATAAGTTCTGTGATTTACTAGTGGTGAACAGTGGTGGGGAAAATAACTACCTAAATATATTTACTCAGGTAGTGTACTTAAGTACAGTTTAGAGGCACTTAAGTATTTCCATTTTCTTTCATTTTTTCACTTCTTACTCCACTACATTTATCTGACTATCATTACTCGGTACTCTTTCATCTACAAAATATGATCGTCCTAAATGTAATCGAAGATGATGTCTTATAGATTTAACGGCTAACAACAATAGTGTATAAAGACATTCTTGTCAAATACTGTTCAATATTAATGCATTAGTAATACTAATCCAGTGATATAATTCATGATAATAAAGACTAGAAGATTTAATTGCCTTTGCTACCTACCTTTGTAAGTATGTTATATAAATAATACTTCTGCTGGAGTACCACTTTAAATGCAAGACCTTTATTTAAAATTGAATATTTTTAGATGGAGATGTTGTTAAGTAAAATACCAAAATATTTGCTAGTGAAATCGGAGGTAATAATAAAAAACTAAAGTGATAAGCAGAAGAAATAAGCACGGTGCTTAAAAACACTGCACTTCAAAATAAAACTGAAAACATGTTGACTACTTGTGATCAGCGATCACCTTCATCATATCTGAAGTGGGTGTGATTGTGAATGGATTAAAGAAAATCCCATTTTTTAATCATTTGCACAATCAAAAGTTGCATTTACACTGCTCAAAAAAATAAAGGGAACACTTTAATGACACAATGTAACTCCAAGTCAATCACACCCCTGTGAAATCAAACTGTCCACTTAGGAAGCAACACTGACTGACAATCAATTTCACATGCTGTTGTGCAAATGGAATAGACAACAGGTGGAAATTATAGGCAATTAGCAAGACACCCCCAATAAAGGAGTGGTTCAGCAGGTGGTGACCACTTCTCAGTTCCTATGCTTCCTGGCTGATGTTTTGGTCACTTTTGAATGCTGGCGGTGCTTTCACTCTAGTGGTAGCATCAGACGGAGTCTATTAACCCACACAAGTGGCTCAGGTAGTGCAGCTCATCCAGGATGGCACATCAATGTGAGCTGTGGCAAGAAGGTTTGCTGTGTCTGTCAGCGTAGTGTCCAGAGCATGGAGGCGCTACCAGGAGACAGGCCAGTACATCAGGAGACGTGGAGGAGGCCGTAGGAGGGCAACAACCCAGCAGCAGGACCGCTACCTCCGCCTTTGTGCAAGGAGGAGCAGGAGGAGCACTGCCAGAGCCCTGCAAAATGACCTCCAGCAGGCCACAAATGTGCATGTGTCTGCTCAAACGGTCAGAAACAGACTCCATGAGGGTGGTATGAGGGCCCGACGTCCAGCCCAACACTGTGCAGGACATTTGGCATTTGCCAGAGAACATCAAGATTGGCAAATTCGCCACTGGCGCCCTGTGCTCTTCACAGATGAAAGCAGGTTCACACTGAGCACATGTGACAGACGTGACAGAGTCTGGAGACGCCGTGGAGAACGTTCTGCTGCCTGCAACATCCTCCAGCATGACCGGTTGGCGGTGGGTCAGTAATGGTGTGGGATGGCATTTCTTTGGGGGGCCGCACAGCCCTCCATGTGCTCGCCAGAGGTAGCCTGACTGCCATTAGGTACCGAGATGAGATCCTCAGACCCCTTGTGAGACCATATGCGAGACAATGCTAGACCTCATGTGGCTGGAATGTGTCAGCAGTTCCTGCAAGAGGAAGACATTGATGCTATGGACTGGCCCGCCCCTTCCCCAGACCTGAATCCAATTGAACACATCTGGGACATCATGTCTCGCTCCATCCACCAACGTGCACCACAGACTGTCCAGGAGTTGGCGGATGCTTTAGTCCAGGTCTGGGAGGAGATCCCTCAGGAGACCATCCGCCAGGCATGTGGAGGCCACACACGCTACTGAGCCTAATTTTGACTTGTTTTAAGGACATTACATCAACGTTGGATCGGCCTGTAGTATGGTTTTCCACTTTGATTTTGAGTGTGAGTCCAAATCCAGACCTCCATGGTTAGATAAAATTGATAATTTGTTTGTGATTTTGTTGTCAGCACATTCAACTATGTAAAGAAAGGAGTATTTAATGAGATTATTTCATTCATTCAGATCTAGGATGTGTTATTTTAGTGTTCCCTTTATTTTTTGAGCAGTTTATATTTAACTCAAGCTTCCATGTGAATCTGCTGTACAGTCAGAGGTGGATGGCATGTGGATGTCAGCTGTGAACCATGGGTCATGTTTTCACAACAGGAGACGTGGTATTGGCCGGGAGAGGTGAGTGCCGACGCTGTGGTGATGAGTGGCGTTCGCTGCTCAGGCACTGAGATGTCCCTGTCCCACTGCCTGCACCACGGAGCCCACCTCAACTGCCCCAGAGGAGGCGGACGCCACGCCGCCGGAGTCTCCTGCTCTGAGAGTAAGGCACTCAAATTTGTATGTTGCTGATGGTGAATGCTTTTGAGAGGCAACTGTCAAAAAATGGCAAGCAATCATAAAATGTTCCATCGGTAACATTTGCCTGCTGCCCCTTTAAATCCTGAACGTTGTACAGTCATGAACGACTAAGTAAAGAAAAGAAGAAATTGATATTTTCACTTTTAATTATACTTTGACTAGAGCCTTTGCCATTCAATTTGTCAGCTGACACGTCCACAGTGAAAAGCTTTGACTCTTTTGTTCTACACAGTGAGTTTTAATTCAACAAATAAAATGATGCCTGCCTCCGGGGGAAGCTCTGCCTCCGAGAAATGTTTGCATAACTGAAACTCCAATATCCCTCCTGAATCACAAGAGGGCTCTGCAGTTTGAAACAGAAACCACTCATTCACTTGACACGTGCCACAGCCTTTTTTAGGTTTGTTTTTTGCCAACTAAAGAGCCACTTCTCTGGGTTTCTAACTATGTTTTGTCTCCGTCTGCTTCCCTGTGGTTCTATTCTCTGATCCTCCTGTCCACAGCCGCTCCTGACCTGGTGTTGAACCCTCAGGTGGTGGAGCAGACCACCTACATGGAGGACAGACCCATGTTCATGCTGCAGTGCGCGTACGAGGAGAACTGTCTGTCCTCCACCTCCAGCCAGGTGCCGGCCAACTCTACCGCCGCCTGCTGCGCTTCTCCTCCCAGATCCACAACAATGGCCAGTCTGACTTTCGGCCCAAAGCTGGCAGGCATGATTGGGTGTGGCACGACTGTCACAGGTCAGTGTCACAGAAGGGACTCTTGGGTTTGATCCCAGATGTCATCATATGATAATTCCACCAATGTCCAGTCCGTTTTTCATTTACTGGGCCCCAGACTAACTTTCTGTTAAAACATAATAGTTGAACATTTGGGAAATATGGTTATGGAAATATATTTTGCTTTCTTTTCAAGAGCTTGATGAGAAGATTGATACAACTATTGAGTCAGTGCATCAAGTACAGAGCTAGAGCCAGGAGGCAATTAGCCTAGCTTAGTATAAAGACTGGAAGCAGGGGGAAACAGGTAGCCTGGCTTTCTCCAGAGTTCAAAAATATGACTACTGATACATGATGGATGGGGTGCTTACCGAAGCTGATAAAATATTTTAATTAAATACTTGCCGTGATAGGAAGATATTTAAACGTAACCACAGACCACTGGTAGAATGAATGAATGAGAAAATCCATATTGGCATTCAAAAAAGAAACTTGTGCAACCCGTCTTACAGAACAACGATGTGTGGCCAGGGAGTTGCGGCAGATTCATAAAATGTCTTTAAACATGAGAGATTTATCATGCAGTAACTTTGTTAATCACCGACACAGAGAATTTGCAGAAGCAGTTGTAACCAGCGTATATTTTGAAAACACAAATCACAGTTTCATTAGAAACCACAAGCTCAAAGTCCTCACAAGGTGAGGCGTTGTTTTTTTGATCATCATCAGGATGATTTAGAAATGACATCTTAAATCAGATTTAATTTGAGAAAAGAGAGATGACTTAGCCGCCCGTCTTGTTTCTGAAGCAGCTTTCCCCTCCACATGTTCTGCTGCCCTGTAATTGACTGCGTGCAGTAAGCTACTGTACACAGGGTTGCAAAAAGTCCCACATTTTTGTGGTTTCTGTGTTGGCTGGATGAACAGTTCACTGTTGGCAGCTTGACACAGCTACCAGCTTTCAGCACATCAAACCTTTGGCACCTTTGACTGGCAGAATTCAATCCATTTTAAAGAAATGGTTTGGATTACAGGTTCTAATATGCAGTTTTCTTCATATTTAGATTTAAAGAAGATTGGGGCACAGATAGGAACTACAGTAGACAACAAGAAGTGTCATTATTGTGTCGGTACTTTTGTGCTGCATTTTCAACCTGACTAGCTTTGTAAAACTATATTTCTGTGTGTGTTTAGGCATTATCACAGCATGGAGGTGTTCACGCTCTATGACCTGTTCACCTTAAACGGAACCAAAGTGGCAGAAGGACACAAAGCAAGTTTTTGCCTGGAGGACTCAGAGTGTGATGAAGGTGAGAACCAGAAGACGATATTATAAGATGAAAATCTGTCACTGTGGTGTTTACGGTTTGTTCTGCTGCCCCCAACAGGGAAAAACAAATACAACTGTTCATGCAGCTTTAACGTCTTATGAATAGTTCTCAGAGGGTTTCCTGTATTTACCAAACTCATTTCATTTTGTAATGTTTTTATTTCAGGTATTGAAAAGAGGTATGAGTGCGCTAACTTTGGAGACCAAGGTATCACTGTGGGCTGCTGGGACACCTACAGGCACGATATCGACTGCCAGTGGGTCGACATAACTGACATGAAACCTGGAGATTACATTTTCCAGGTAATGTTTCGCATTGTTCTTAAGTAAAGACCATTAATACTGCTCATCCCTGACTTGCTTGTGTTCTCCCTCTCACAGATAGTGATTAATCCAAACTATGAAGTACCCGAGTCAGACTACACGAATAACGTCATGAAATGCAGATGTCGATATGATGGCCATCGTGTGTGGATGTACAGCTGTCATAATGGTAAGACCTCGCAATTATTGATTCGTATCTGCTGTCCCTTTAATGTTGTTGTGCTTAAGGTCAATTCAAACTGTAATTGTAACATTGTTACAAGCGCTCACACTCACCTCAGTTACATTCCACCACAGATGTGTTTATTATTTCCATTAACTCAAGGTCCACTTACTAGCTGTTTCTGAAACTTTCAACCCTCTCTCATGGGCTTCATCAGCAGATGGGAGTTTGCTCAGTTATCATGGAGTCAGTTCACTTTTGGGGACATGTCCCCACCACTTTTTGAAATGGCTGATTTTGCCCCCATCACTTTTTGAAAGCACTTGCTAAAAGTTTTCTGAAAATTAGAAAAAAATAGAAATAAAGAAATGAAATTCTATGAGAAATGTTTCCTTGCACAATAGGAAAACATGAAATGTAATGTAAATATAGAAGAAACAGATCTGCCTTGTCTAAAAAAAAAAAAAAAAAAGTAACTTACTACTGCATTATATTCGATAATATTTTTATATTCTGAATTGTCACTGGCCATATGAATTTTGTTGCCCTTCATATAAATAAAGACATTTCCAACATAAATTGGTGCAGAAAATGTCTTTAGAATGCAGGAAATTAAGAGTTTAATGCTCAAAATCTTCTAGGGGAGGACCCCCAGACCCCCACATTGTATAGTAAATTTCATCAATCAATATTCAACACAAAGTGACGCCTTTGGATAACGCCTGTCTTAGTATGACTCCATGCTCTGATGATGACTGTAAAATGAGGATGAAAGCTCAGGAAAAAGCTTGTAAGTAACAATGAGCAAGGATTATTTAATTCAAAAAAGAAACTTCTGTGCTCTAGTGTGTGTGTGTGTGTGTGTGTATGTGTGCCATGAGAGACAATGTACAATTTGCTTAATTTTCTGATTCATTATCTAGCGCACCTCTTAGGAGCACTTAGCTGGGCCCTGCCTTTATCAGTGGAGGTGAAACTGCTGGTATCAGATTTGAAATAAGGATAAAGTGTGAGGTCGCTAACACTGTCTGTCTCTGCTAGGTGGCTCATTAAGCACTGAATCAGAACAGACGTTCCCAGGCCTGCTCAACAACCAGGTGACCCACAGGTAAAGACAAAGCAGAGGAGAGGAGTCAACAGGCCGTTACCCACCCGGCAAGGAGGCCATCTGATTCCCACCAACCACTACACATCTTCATCTGTGGTGGATTCTTCCCGGCAGCCCTCCTCCATGAGGCAGCAGCTTTCTTTGACCCTTCACCCTCCTTTCCCCCGAGCAGAAAGAATATTTGATTCCCCCTCCTGTCCAAACAGAGGCAGCTACAGCCTTACCAACACTTTCAACCTTCCTGCTTAAGATCAAGAGAATGGTGAAGCTCTCCGTGTGCCCTGTGACTTTTGGTTATTGAACGAGTCATGAAATAAACCTGCTGGGAAGTGGCAGATATTTTACACACACGGTGCAGTATTGGAGGATGTCATCAAGAATGGGTCTCCTTTGAAGTGAATGCACCTTAACAGAACCCTGCTGCATCACCTTTTGTTCAAAGCTCACCCTGGAGAGTGCCAGGTCGCCTGAGGATTGCGAGGAATCATCAATAACAACAGCAGCAGTCTGTTTGGAAATAAATGCAGTATTCCAAGTTCCGAGTTTTTTTTTTTTTTTCTCTCGAGTAAAGTGCCTTTTACACGCTAAGTCAGTTATTAAACTGATTAACTGATTTTTCACATCTTATCTGAGGTGTTCATGCAAATCAAACTGTGGCACAAACAAGTCCTCAAAAGAAACCAGCTCGTTCACCGAGGCTGAAGCATTACATGCTGTGGTGCCTTTAACGTGCCTTTACTTTAAATAACTGGTGCATACATCCTCTATAATTGCCTCGGAAACTATATGGACAAGACTTTAGTCTTTGCATTAAGAGTTATGCTACAGTCCTTTGTAGGTGTTGTTGTTGCAATGGTTGTTGGGGGAAAAAAATATATAATTATAATATAACAGATTTACCTAAAATTTACATTACAGTATGCGTTATCTAAGAGGTTTTGGGTTTGACCAACGCTGTTTTAACCTTCCAGTCATGTACAAAATTAGTAAAAAGACTGACAGATCAATTTCCGTTCCTAGACATTTTCTTGTTCTTCTGATATATTCCTCTTTGTTCTTTATGATATGTAGCAATATTTTACCGTTGTGCCTGTGGATCCCCACATCTCTCTTCTCCTTGTTTAGGGCTTTTACAAAATGCCCATAAAACACCCTTAAAAATGGTGTTTTTGCTAACCTCCAGTGGTATAACTTCTCATCTTTCTGCCGTGATGTAGAAGTGTACTTCAGGGTGTGTCAGTACACCGTGACTTAACCACTGGGTGCAGTATTGGTGCAACATGGCTCACTTCTGACTTGAAATTTTCCACCAGAGGACAGTCTGGTATTACATTTCTTTTTGGTAAGTCTCATCAAAGGTTGTGCCATATAATTTCACAAATTACTGTACTTGAATATCTAACTAGGGGAGAGCAGGGGCGAAAGTACCATTTTTCAGAAAAACCTGATTTTAAAAGATTATGTTTCAGACAGATATATTTTTGCTGTGGTCACTAACTCACAAATGTGGTCTATAAATATCAGGTGGTATTTTGTACAAATGTAGAACGACTTCCGTATAATTTCACTTTAAACATAAGTGGCACATTGTTACTTTCGACACGGTCAGCTGGGACAAAAGTAACACAACAATACAAGCTAGATTTTTGTGTTACCCTTGTATTTAATAAATAAACATGACTGTGACCTTGTTAATGTGTAACTGCAAACATCTTTTGACCTTTATCTTTAAAAAAAATGTAATTAAATTTTTATTTTAAATATTCAGTTTCAAAAGTAACCTGACTGCCCAAACTTGAATTGTTTAGAATATGTCATATTATATTAAGGATATATTATAAATATATAATATACATATGCAAATGTGTGCACCTAAAACAGGGGGGAAATGTTAAGATGGAGATTGTTTATGAACCTGACATGATTAAAATAAAATGAGACTGATGCTGCACTGGGGATATTTGCATGTTGCAGCTGTTTCAGAAACAGTGAAAAAATGAAACATAATTTAGAAAGATAAACTTAAATTAAAAATTAAAAAGAAAAATTATATAGCTATTTACAGTATATGCCTATACAATTTCACATTTTGAAATGAATTTAAAATTGTTTTAGTAAGAACAGTATGAGTGATCTGCATTTTGAGTGCTTTTTACTGACACCTGCTCCTGAGGAGACAGGCCAAAATAAATACCAGCCGCTCTCTTAATATAAGCATGGAGCTTCCTCTCCAAGAGACTTAAAAAAAACAAAGCATGAGACTTTATCAGCTGACTTGAGACTAATGTTTCTAATAGAGACGTCCAGAAACGCCTTCTCATAAACATCTGGCTGAATCAGACCTCTGTCTTTCTGACCCGCGCTATTGGCCTATTCTGTTGGTATAATATGGCGTAAACATGTTCTAATAAATGCTGCAACACACAGAAAAGTCACCACATTAGCAGCGGGACAAAGGAAACACTTGTTACTTTCGTCCCTACAGGAACTCCTGACATTTAAACATGATTTACTTTTATACTGAAAAACTCTGACAGGGCAAACTTCAGGATGTGTTAAAGCACTAAATAACCTGCAGAATAATCATTACTGTGACACATGAAACGAGAGACAGATCTTTTCCGGAGCGAACCGCAGGAGACCATGACGAAATCACGTTATGTTTGGCAGCTTCGTCAAGGGTTGCGTGCTGAACATGCTGTCACAGTTTGGAATGCAAATGTAGTCAGGGCATTACTTTCGCCCCTGCTCTCCCCTATGTCATGTTGAAATGACACTGTGAGCAAATGGCAGATTTGTCCAACTGAAATTAAATTACATGTTGCACAGCCTACAGACCCAGTCTGTAAATCACATGTTCTGTGCTTTCTTTGGAGAAAAAATCAACTCCCAAACAGAAAACAGAAATTTATATGTCATAGTCTTTTTGCGTTTTAGGACAACACCAATCTGTCTGTGTCAAGTCAAGTTCAACAAGCTAAGTTGGCTAATTAACTGTTTTAAGTTTTTGTTGAGGTTACAGAATGTTAGCTTGGAGGGCTTTATTTTCCCTCTTCAGTAACTTTGAGAGGAATGAGATGGTGTAAAACGGTGAACAAAATGCCCGGGGGAGTAAAAAGAACAGTAGAGAGAAAAGAGAGATTCTGTGGGAGCTGTGACTGGCTAACGCTTTAGCTGTTAATTCACCAGGCAGCTTCAGCAATTCACCAACTAATCCTGAGTGTATGGTCGCTACTTCTAGAACCATCCATCCATCATCAACCGCTTATCCTGCGTACAAAGTCACAGGGACTTCTAGAACTATATATTTTAAATATAAAAATATAAAGACACACAGGTTAATTTTGCTATACGTCTTTCTGGTTTGACCAGACCATAAAGCAGTAACATTCTCATATTTTTTTTATAGCTTTATTATTCAAATGTCTTCTTTATATCTACTGTACAAGCATGGACCTCAGCTGAACGAGCTACTAACCACCATGGCAGTTTGCAGGGTATGTACCGGTAGCTAATTAGTTAGTCAGCTGTTGCACATTTTACATGTACCAATACTGCTGCTAACAAATTGGCTTGTAAGCTACAGTTACCAGAGCAAGTTCGTCAGCTCAGCTGTCAATCAAACATGTACACCGGCACATCCACTCACAGGGGTGAAGGCTAACATTACAATATTAATGATACATTTTAAACTTATATGTTAATGAAGTGTGTCTTAAGTCTTCCACAGCCAGTGGTGCTCTGTCAGCTCTACAGGAGGATTATAGAGTCTTACAGAAGCATGCCTTCAAATAAAAGGAGGGTTTAGCCATATTCTCTCACTGCTTCCTGTTTCCTTAACAAGGAAACAGAAGAGTGATTTTTATCCTTATAACAGAGATAGCACACGAAATAGCATCTTCTCTTAGTTGCAGATCTAGATGTTTTTTACTCTTTAAAACAAAGACAACAGAGTAACTTTTATTGGTCTTTTTTTTATTTTATTTTATTTTTTTTAAAGTTTTACTCCTCGTTTAAAAAGAAATGTTAGGTACAATAATGTGTGTGTCAATCCTATTTTGTTGTACCTTTCATAATGGTGCTATCAAACTGGTCCTCTGTTTTCTGAGGGTACAGTACATGTTGGACAGCTACATTATGTATACTAACAGTATACTTGAACTGAGCGTACGAAACGATGTGCTTTCTGTGTTAAACTTTAATAAAGTAATAAAGAGTTACGGAGCAAACAAATCTTTGCTGTTCAGTGTTGTTTATATTAATGTTATCTTCATTATCAGCATCACCCTGTTTCTAGGGGTGGGAATCACCAGAGACCCATGATACGAAATTATCACGATACCTATATCACGATACGATATTATTGCGATTTTAAACATTATTAGCTTTTTCCCAACTTCAAATTGTGTCCCCAAAGGAAAACTCTTTTTCTAGTGAAAAAGCAATAGATTTTATTATTATAGTACCAAAAAGTAAAA